GTGACTCACGATTCTTCTTAATTCCACGAGTGTATAATTAGCACAAGGATCGCTGCAACTCGCTTGGCTACATTTTCCATTGTTCCGCGAAAGACTCGTGGCGATGCGATGTTGCGTTCAATGTGAGGCTTAAGCCTCTACCTTGCTCTCTCGCGTACACCTTTCGTCCCACGTGGCAGACGAGATTATGCATCCAGCTCACCGGCTGGTAAGAAGCCGCCGGTTGATCCGCAAGGAAAATCCGTAACTTTGTGCCTCGGAATTTTTCCACGGAATGCGTAGAGCCCTCTCGAGCGTCTTTTCACCGAAGTTTCATTGAAAAGATATACCGCTTGATGCTCGTAAGTTTTCGAGAAATACGTCTTTCATAACTTCGCGGGGAAACTCCGTTGAAAATCTACGGGCGATGCCTTTGGATACGCGAAAATAGATCCCAGGCTGGCAGGCCACCAGCGCGAAAATAATTCGCGGTGCCGAGACGGCTGACGGCGGAGATTACCTCTATCGGTGCTCTCTGATTACCCCGGTCCCTCCCGCGAGTGTGTGCGTACACAGCGTAATTTCATTGAGACACGTAAGATAGCGGTGTACTGTTGGCAAACCGTATGTAATACGCGCGACATGCCGAGCCGTCTAATATTAGCTGAAATCCCTGGTTAAACCTAAGTCAAATAGAAGAGCGTCCGAAACTGCAAACCCAAAATGTCCCATACCGGATTACGCCGATTTGCACGGTAAACATTTACAGCTTGCACTTGCTGGCCGCGCGCAAGAAGTGATGCCGGTAATCGATGAACTACTCGGTTCCTTAAGAAAAAAAAAGGTTATTTCAGAATAGCCGCTGCACCACGCACACACATTCGCGCGGAAAAACGTTTACCTTGTGTACAGTGATGGGCAGAATGGTTACATTTTTTTTTAATGAGTTTAGGAACGTACATTTAGATTCAGGGGCTCAATTCTGTATCGTGCAACATAGTGAAAATGCTAAGAGTGAGCGGCTTTGTCTATTTTTAAGGGGACAGTTAGAAAGAGCCAAGCCCTAGTAGTACAGTACATATATTGGCGCAATATTGGGAAATAATGTGAATCTAGTATTCCCAATATTGTAAGGTGGACGCCCTCTCTTATTTACTCAATGTCTATTTAGCAATATTGGTTTAATATTGTATCAATATTGGACCAATATTGTTATTACATTGTTAAATGTTGGCCAATGCACTTCCAGTATAAATCTAATATTATATAATTATTATCGTGCAATATTTACATTTATTCCATGGCCAATGTTGGCTTTACGTTGGACAATATCGGCCAATACATTTCTAATGTAACCAACATTTGACCAATGCTTAGCCAAAGGCTAACAAAAATCGGTTCAATATTGCATCAATATTTGAGCAATATTCTTATTACATTGTTAAATATTGGCCAATGCACTTCCAGTATAAATCTAATGTTATATAATTATTATCGTGCAATATTTACATTTATTCCATGGCCAGTATTGGCTTTACGTTGGACAATGTCGGCCAATGTATCGTGTTATTAGGGAGACTACTCACTTTTAGCATTAGCACTATAGTGTAAGATACGGAACTGACCACCAGGGTTACGTTCCGGAATCTTCTTCTCCGAGGAATATTTTACTCGATGGCCATTCCGAAGCCATTTTGCGCGTTTCTGATCTATTTCTTGAGCAAAATTTCCCCCCGAGAAAATGTTTCGAAAACCTAAATCTGCGCGTTCCTAAACTCATTAAGGGAAAAAAAGTGTCGCGAACATTCTGTCCATCACTGTGCGTACATGCGGCGGAAATGTGAAAATAGAAAGTAATAGGAAATGATTGTAACGTAATATCATCTTTACGTGTACGGAAACTGAACTAATCGTCGCGATAGGGGTAATCTATGGTTGATTAATCGCACTGTAAAATACATTGTTACGTTGTTTGTGACGATTAAGCGTTATCACGCTTGGTTCGCGAGAACGAAGTTACGGACAGTGTGTGTTCACGAAGCGATGCGCTGACTTGTTCGATATCGACCGCGTCAGAGAAGCGTTAATCCGTCTTACGTCTACGTTCTAACGAGTATTCCCTGCGACATGGTACACCCACACGCGCGCGCGAGGGCAATTTGATTATCGCGGGCCCCGGATTAAAGTTTAATTTCGTCCCTGCGTCGATTTTTGATTGATGGCATTTTGCCAACGATTATTAATTCAACGAGATAGTGTCGGTGATGAAAGTTGGAGGCGATCGTTAAAGCAGTAGGTAACATAAAGGCAGTAAAATAATCGGTGCGTTAATTAATTTTATATCTTGACGTTAATATGTATTTATATTTTATCTGCTTAATCCTTCCTCTCAGGATAACAAGCTGAATCCCAGATAGCACAAGACACTCCTATGAACATTTTAAGAATATTCTTCTTTAAGAAGATTTGGAATATTCCATAGGTCATTCTTTTATCTTATGTTCGTGGAATATTCGACTGGCATTACTATAAATCTTTTTCGAATGTGAATAGAATAATCTATCGAATATAGCGTTATATATGGTATGATCACTGGTTTCACTGCCTTTTGCATAAGGTAAGTGTATTACACAATAAACAATGTGCAATACATAAACTCGATGAATATTAAAAATTATTCTGAACGAATATTCCAAAGACGTTCTCGATAAATATTTAAAAAAATGTTCTTCTTTGTTATGAATATACGATTTCTAATTGTAATAATCTATTTATGTATTTATAGAATATTCGATTGGAATATTCTGAAATTAAGAATATTAGCACTTCAGAAGAATATTCATAGAACTACGTGTGCTGTCAGGGAATATATCTGTAACGTAATGTTGTTTATAGTAGATATACATATATTAACATTAACATATACGTGTTCTCTAAAAGTCTATCAGTAGATTATCACTGAAACAGTGAATAGTCACTGATTTGCGGTTATACTCTGGGAAAAAAAAGACAGCGACCCATTTTGGGGCCCACAATTAGTAATCGAATTATTTGGATTGTTCGTAACTCGACTCTGGGAAAAATTTTGACCGTTTGTTTGCAGTTAAGCGACTTAACATTAAGTGAAAATTATCTTTGCGTCACTGAATATCGACAGAACTAATTGAGAGAATTGATTAGCGTTGCTTAAAAATCTTGGATATAGATAAAACAGCTAATTGCGATTTTTAGTTACGCGGGGCAAAATTCGCCAAAGATTAGAGTTACGAACAATCGAAATAATTCGATTACTAATTGCGGGCCCCAAAATGGGTAGCTGTCTTCTTTTTCCCAGAGTACGTGTACCGCTGAAAGTCGCAGTAGTATACTTATAACTTTAAACCGGTGACTATTCACTGTTTTCAGTGACAATTCACTGATCGCTTTTTAGAGAGTGTACAATACATATGTAAAATTGATCTAGCATGTAATATATAATGTACAGATCTGATATAAATGTATATTTTTGAGAAATCGCAAATCATTTATATGGAAATTCGAGTTTGAAAAAAATGCAGCGCGATTTAACCGGGATGATCGATACTGTCGCTCGGAATATTTCGAAGGCGGTAGGTCCATAGTTAAAACAAAGGCAGGATGTAATGACGTAATTGTAATGTCTTCGGGAGGCAATAGCCGTATCCGTGACTGCCATTCAACACCAGGCCGCGTAACTAAAGCTCTCTTTCGCCTTCGTGCTGCCTGGTAAAAACTTCTCTCGTGTTTCTTTCGTGACTGAAACACGGAAGTAACATTAACCTACTGCACTCAATATATATTCGTGTGACTTTTACCGCGTGTGTATCTTTAGTAATTGTGATAGATTTTCCATCAGTGTACGCGCCCGTCGTTTTGCGCTAAATAAATCTCATGCGTCACTTTGTTACGGAATATCTGTCTGTGTAATATAATATGTAGCTAATAAATTTATGGCCCGCGAAGATGTCAACTATTAATGTCAATTATTTGGCTCGGAACAAAGGAGCGTGGAACTCATTGTCAAACGTGTTTGCAATCTTTCGTACGATTATTTCTATTATTTTTTTCATTTCGGTTTATTATTTTCTACTTTGATAAGAATTGACCGTCAAGATCCTCTGATGAATTCATTAGAAAATTTTGATGTACTTCAACCTTCTGTAGTCCCACTTCTGAGCAATCGTAATTATGTTTCGCGCGTGTTACCATGGATGATGCGTGCCTCTGATCAGCGTTGCGACAACAGTATCCAAGCATGCAACTTCCCGGGTGTATTGATCGATCGATATTGACGTGACCTAGGTTTCGTTCGAGGAACGTGTCTCGAAAAATAGTGATCGCCATCGAGTTGTACTCACGTTGACATTATTGTGTATTTTAACGTATATTTTACGCCTAAGTCAAGCTGCGTGTTCAGAATCAAGCAAGGGGGGAAACCGCTGACCAAAATCTTGTACACCGATGCCCACTGATACCCAGTGGGCATTACTTTATCTTATCATTTTATGTTATCTTATTTAACTTGCTTGCTCTTATTTTATCTTATTTTATCTCTATAATGCCCCAGCGAGGCATTTAATGCCCAAACTAATGCTCCAAAAATGCCTAGTAATGCCCAGTAATGCCGCAATCTGTACACCACAATGCCCTCAGCGGTTTCCCCCTCGGAATCAAGTCCTCGACCGCTGAAGATAAAATTTGAAAATTTATATAACACTTAAAATTTTCTCGACTGGATCTTGACGCGACGTGTCTCGATTGGTATCTTAGCTTCAACAGGTTTCACAGAAAGATATTGCACGATGCTATTTTTAATTTAGCCTGAAGTATTTTAATATGTGTATCGGCATCTGATAAAATTACGTGCACAGAATGCACGATTCACTCGTTGCCGTACTATATCGTGCGTGTTGAGCGTAATTACGCGATATCGATATCATTTTTCTGAATACGATAAATACCGTGGTAGCAAATTGATATTGGTATCTCTTGTGTTGAATAAGCTGGCGTGTGTTCCGAAGAGGAAGACTTGTCGAAAGGCGACCAGAGGGGGTACGATTGTTGGAAGGATCCAGACTTCCGGTACATTCTAGAGATGGTTTGCTGCGGTTGTGTGGACGAGCCCTCGTCTAAAGTGGAACCCACGGTAAACGTTCTTCCGGTACGCTTGTTAAAAAAGGATCCGCGTATTTATGAATGCAGCCTGCTCTCGTTAAAATAATAACGTTATGCATCCACTGAGAAGCGCAATGTCTACATTTCTCAAACACGCGACTTGAACTTCGCTAAATCAATTCTCACGATTAGTTTTGTTCGTTAGGTTTAATCAATCTGACGTTTTTCCGTGATGAAGGCTCGCGATTTTGAGCTGGTGCGCTTCCATTTCTTTATAATCTTGTTCTTAAAATTTTCACACGTTAAATGGAATAAAATATTTTCGGTGACTTCGACTGTTTGCTTGTCGTAACAGTTTTCATTTGTGAGTTTTAATTCTTCCTTTCTAGACACCTGATGGGCAAGGCTCCCCGTCGAACTATTCAGAGCAGATATTCGTGAAGGACCGATCATGCACCGATTTTCTGGCTGTGGTCGTCGTACTTGTCCTGGCAGGCGGTTTCGTAAGTGATGTTGCTTTTTCGTCCATGTCATAACGCTAATACGTTCGCCGAACATTTTGTAACATTTGTGCGTGTAGATCTTTATGATGACGAATGTGGCGAAGAAGGGTGACGTTTTCCGGGTGATAAACGGATACGACGATTGCGGAAACGTCTGCGGCCGCGTGACCCTGTATGAAAACAACCCGAAATTCGAGTGCAACGGTCGTTTCGACTACACCAAACTATCGTGAGTGCACTTTGGAGCATTTGCACTAATTGGACATGAAATTTCCTAAAATTTCTCTTTGATCACGCAACTCGTGTATATCAGAATTGAGATTTATAAAAAAAAATTCATGTGATTTGTGCTCTTAAAAAAATAACGAATAAAAAAATAAAATTAATTTATTAGCAAATTAATGAAATAATAAAGCACCTGACAAGATCCTTTTGAAAAAATAAATGCAGCCTAGGATCAACAGAAACGTCCAAAAATAAAATTAAGCTTAGTCGTTGGTATTGTTTGTTGCACTACTATACTATACTGAAAGGTCACGAGAAGTGACCGTATTGATCGATGCCTTCTACATTGATAACTTGTGTTCTATGTCTATTAGGTATCTCGAAATCAACATCGACGCCAACGGAGTGAAGAACCGTAAATGCGTGTCAAACTGCACAGTGGACGAATCCAAGTTAGTAAAATTGTAACTCGTTACATCTCGTATCTTGCGTATCCGCTTTAATTGTTCACATTTACTAAAATGATCTAATGATTCGAAGGATTGTTACAACTGTAATCACACAGCAGGTTTTATGGGCTCGTACACTCTAACATTAACTTCCGTTTCTCTGTCTCGCAGAATATTATTCCTGAATCGCTGTATACACAAAAAGGTGACGGAGACTATCAACTCCATAATAAGGACCCTTCGTTTGGACAGCTTTTACAACGTAAGTGATGATTTGCGAGAACATTTTTCGAAATTATTCCCCATGCAAGAATCGTCAATCTTTCATTTTGCTAGAATTCGAGCTCAAGTTTCAAATATGTGCATGATTCGTTATTCATTCATTGTCTGAGGTCTGTTCTGTATGGTTGGTTGCAAAAATAACAGAACTTTAAAAAAATGACAAGACAGACAATTTTCTGAGGGATAAACATTTTATTTCATTTAAAGACATTTGTTTCTGCGGTGATTCAACGATTTGCACAGTTAACTAATGCGTCAAGTGACTATTCTATGTCTTTTTGTGGAATGTCTGAGGATGCTCGTCGGCTTTTCAGATATCTGGAATAGTGTTATGACGCTTTCCTTTCACAGGCGTTTTGAGCCGTGGAAATGAAAAGTAACCGCATGGTGCCAAATCTGGCAAATACAGTGACTTGTGCAACATAGTAACTTGTTTTTGTGCTAAAAAGGCATCATGACACTATTCCAGACAGCCAAAAGTCTGCAACGTGCATTCTCAAAGGCATTCCGCTAAAGGACATAGAAAAATCACTCGAAGCATTAGCTGACCATGCAAAAATCGCCGCGGAAATGTATTTGAAAATAAAATAAAATAAGACATTTGTCCCAAAAATGGTCTATTTTGTTGTTTTTAAAAAGTTCGGTTATTTTTGCGACACAGACCGTATATATATTTTTATACCATATTCCCAATTACATCGAAAAAAACAGTTCTTATTCCAATTTCAAGGAATGTCACCTTATATTATCTTATTCCTTCTTTTCATAAAATCTAATCGTTTCTAATATTATCGACGAAGAATTACGGAAAAATAACAGAAAATTTATCTTCTCTAAGAAGAAACGTCGTGTGTAGTTTATTAAGAACCGGTAAGCTTTATTTTTTAATGGTTTAGAAATAGTATGTGTTTATTTCAACGTTTTATAGTGATTGTTTAACATATTGTATTACATTTTAAAGTAAGCCTCATATCATATTATCTGACATTTCTTCCTTGAAACTCATTTATTCTTATATAGTGCTTCGCTATCTGAAATCGATAAACAGAGTGATTTGCGAGTAATATATACGGTATCTCCATAATTAGTCCAAATAAGTAATCAGTATAAGTATATCGATAATACTTAATTATTTAACACATCAATAATATATCATTATTTCAGGATGCAGTTACTGATCTGGGAATTGCGTGGCGCGAATTGGTTTACCTTTTGCTCATAGCTTTGGGTAAATATTTCAGAAAAAATATACAGTATATTCAAAATAATTTCAAACTTCCAATTTCTCGCTCTTTCTACATATAGATGTAATTTTTCTCTGCGTGCGTGTGTGTAAAGAGAAATTATATACATCTCCAGTAAATTTGATAATATTCCGAGCATTTTGCATAATACACTTGAAATCTGAAAATTTTCAGATAGCATTGTTTTAGAAGTACAATCTTATCATTTTATCGAGAATATGATTTCTGCATATTAAATTTTGATGTTAAATTCTTATATCACTTTTCACTCTGCCTGTCTGTCTGCCCCCCGGGGGGGGGGGGAGAGGGGGGCCCTCTCTCTCTCTCTCTGGGCGACACAAAACAGAGACTTTGAGTGATTGATTACGACCGACGGTTTTTCAGGACTTTCTCTCGGTATCCTGGTGGCCTTCCGCTATATGGTACAATATGTCATTTATGTTGTATTGATCGGCGCAGTTTTGGCTTGCATCGGCGGCACAACGTATCTCTGGTAAAGGGAATTATCTCAACCTTTTTAAAATTAAAATGATATAGCGTAAACCACATTTTCAGAATTTTCCAATCTAAAAATTCCTACGCGAGTACGGCATCTATTATTTGTTTAAATCTAGCGGAGCAAGTTTAAATCTTTTATGCATAGGCTGGCATGGTATCGCGAGAAGAAGAGCTTGGAAAGGAATGAAATTTACCCGGAGGATTCCAGCGTGGAGCCCTACTTCATCTACGCTATTATCATGTCGGTCGTTGCTGTAAGGAAAATCGCTATATCCGGCGTTACGTTCACGCAAATTTTGCAATATATATATATATATACATACACGCACGTACATGCCGCAGGTCATCGTACTCCTAGTGATTCTGGTGATGAGGAAGAGAATCGAGCTGGTCATGCAGCTTTTCCGGGAGGCGGGTAAAGCCGTGTATTCGATGCCGGCGTTGCTGTTTCAGCCGATTTATGTGAGCATATCTCGTTTCAATTATACGAATCCGGTTCACTTCATATTGAGCCTGGCCTCGCGAACGCGGAAATTCTCTGTTTTCAGACGTATTTGCTGATCGGGTCTACGGTAGTAGCGTGGGTCTACTGTATGTTATGGATCGAGAGTGCCGGTGACATTTACTTGAATAGGAAAAATCACGTTCATTTCAAGAAGGATGGCTTACTCATTGTACGTTAGCATGTTTCTTTATCGACTGCGATAAAAATTATACAATATTTCGTAGAATAGATAAATACTCACACTTTCAACCATTAAACGGGATCTTACAAATCTTAATAATTCTGGTAATAATTTTTGTGAATTGTACACGTTTTCTCTTCATACCTTTGAATCGTTTTGAGCAAAATTCGCAAAACTTGTTATTAGACATAAGAAAGGCCTAGTATCGAATATCGATAATATTTATTCTATATTATACGCGTATCAGTTATTTCACTTTACTTATTAAGTTATTTCTTTTTACGTCGCTTTTTGTAATAAATGGAATTAATTTAGGCAACGAGATGGTACAATCTGTTTTTATTCTTCGTGGCATGTGAATTCTATTTGGGTTGCCAGCATATGGTCGTCGCTTGCGCTGTTGCCCGATGGTTCTTTACGAGGTGAGATTTTTAGTAGATATAAACGTTTAAATGAAAGAGCAAATAGCGCAGCTAAAAGTCGATCATTTGTTGTTATGTATAGAAAGATAAAATGAATTTTTCGGTAACTTTAATGGTGCTCGAAATACGATTTTCTAATGTACAATATATCTAGCACTTTTTCACGAAGTATCATAAATTCTCTTATTAACGGTTAAATTTCGTAATGGTCTTCTATATACAGTACATATACATGTCATGTAGATTATAGATGCTGTTATTGCACGAGTTCTATACAGAGAAAGCAGCACTGTAACAGAGATACTTTTGCATTTTAACAGGGACAAAAAACGCCTTTCTCTGCCTGTGGCAAAAGGATTTGGATATCTTATAAGATATCACATGGGCACCGTGGCTTTTGGGGCTTTAATAATAGGCATTGTTCGAGTGATCAGAGCCATGATCTCCTTCGTCCAGAATCATCTAAAGCAGTACGACAACGCTTTCGTGAAAGGAATTTTATGGTGTTGCCAATGTTGTCTCTGGTGTTTCGAGTGTGTTCTAAAATTCCTCACAAGGAATGCTTATATCGAGACAGGTAATTGCGATACAATTGTGGGAACATTGGTTGCGCAGGTTTCCTTGCGAACAACCGTGAAAAAGAAGGCATCTCGTCAACCTTAACTTCTTTCGATGAAGAGCCGAAGAATGCTCCTTCAGAGATGGATCTTTATTTTTTTACTTTAGTTTCTACTTTTCACGGCCCGTTCGATTCTTGGTAGTCGGGTTGCTGCGTGTGCAGGCGCGCTGTAATCCGACCACACGTCTTTTCCAATGACGTAATTTGAATCCTTCATTAATACTGAAAGTCCGTTTCTCATTTCTCGTGAATAGTACAATGCCGTAACAAGAACGAAAGATATTTTTTCGTTGAACGATGCGCTAAGAAAACGATGTTTTTTTTCCAGCTATATACGGATGCAACTTCTGCACAGGCGGAAGGAAGGCATTCCAAGCTTTGTCCAGCAACATTTTGCGAGTAGCGGCGATCAACAGCGTCGGCGATTTCGTTCTGTTTCTGGGCAAAGTCCTCGTCGTGACGCTTACGGTTGTGTCCGGGATTTATTTGATGCAGGTACAGGTAAAATCGTCCTATATATTCGTGTATTTCAAGGGCATTACCAAACGCTAGTTTAACCCCTTTGCAGAAAAAGGAAGGACTTAACCACCCTTGGATACCAATCACTCTCGCGGGGATATTTGCATTCCTGGTCGCGCATTGCTTTATTTCCATCTACGAGGTGAGCGATGTAAAATAAACCTAATGAACAGTATGTTATTAAACGAATGACATAATCTCTACAGACACAATAATTTTTCGCAGATGATCATTGACACGATATTCATATGCTTCTGCGAGGACTGCGAGAAAAATGACGGCATCAACCGTCCTTATTTCATGAGCCGCGGCTTGATGGTTCGTATTAGCTGTAACGCGTGTCAATATCACTTCTTAATGGGAAAGTTTTCTTGTAGAAAAAATTGTAAAACAAATCTTATCTCATTTAGGAGTTCGTGGAGAACAGCAAGAAAGCTTTGAGGCAGCTGGAATACCAGGGTGCTGCGGCCATGTAACAAGCGTTAAGAATTAGATTTTGTTTTGGAGAATGCATTGTGGAGTGTTTCGAAAATTCAATGTTTGGCCAGTGCAACGATCGCTATAGAACGTACGCGGGAATCTCTTCTTTTAGCGTGTGTATCTTTGAGGGACGATCGCGAAACTGCGAAAAGAAACAGAAATAGCTTCCTTTGGTGCACGCGTAAGTTGCCTTCTCTCAATGTGCGGCAGTTATCGAAGTCGTTCCACACCAACGAAGCGTGGTAATGCGCACAATCGACTGTTCCGATCAATCCGACGGATTGACTACACGGAGAGAATTTTCTCTTAAAATTTCTCCTGAAAATCACGTGGCCGTGGGACAACGTGGCATCTTGAAGAATTTTATGAGTCTTTTGAGAGTTTACCATACATTGTACTAGTAATTCTACTAGCGAGATGTATGGCAAAATTTCAAAGGGTCATAAAACTTCTCGAAACGTCGTGTTGTCCCGCGATTACAATACTTTCAGGATAAATTTTAAAGGACAGTTCTCCCCGTGTACATTACCAGGAATGTTACGAATCGTTCTATATTTTCGAAGTTCCTATTTCTAAAAATATTTTTTGTATAACAAGATAGCTTTCTACATAAACTTAGCCGAGATAGGTGTGACACTCGCGCAGTCGCTGCGAATACGCTGATTTGGCAGCCTAAACTTACGACGTTGTACCCTTCGTACCGTCAGAAGTGATTCTTCGCGAACAAATTAATTTATAAGACGCCCGTGTTCTGCATCCTAGAGTATAAGCTTAAAGTCACATCGTTAACGAATGTACTCGTTCTCTATCGCTGTAAATATTTCGTTTTTTTTTATAAACAAGTGCCTGCGACGGATAATTTTTCATTTTGATACAAATGCCGTGTAAGATATAATTAAACTGCTCTAATACTAACAGTATAGTCGTGCTATTTCGACAGAGAAAAAAAAAATATATATAAGATTAATATTATATAATGTCAACGAACGAAACTCAAATACAAGAGTGTATGACAAATCTAATTACTGATCGTGTCGCTCACTTCCTTTCATCGAAAGGGGGCGGGATGTCGGGAGAAGAAAATACCGAAGATGGAGGATACAGCGGGGTGAAGCACGAGAGCCTCGTGGGGCAGGTGGTTAACTTTATCATTTCAATTTATTTCATCTGGGCACACAGTGCATGAACGCTCATGCTTGGTTTACAGATCTCGTGTGTTATGCCGGTTTAGCAAAGGTGGTGTGTCGTCAACACTGAGCTGGCAGTAAATCGGGGTGACGAGTCGGACTCTACGGGGGAATAACGGGGGGGAGGGGGAGAAGGGGGCTTTGGTCTGTTCAGGCCGGATAGACGTTTTAGGACGAAGTGATAAGAGTAGACCGTTTAGAAAATTCTCTCTCGTACTCTATGCGGTGCAGCGCGTCCGAAATAGCGGCGTTACTCGCTAAAACGGGGGGAGGAGGATGGGCGACTAACACGAGCAGCGCAACAGCAATGAAGCCGGCAGATTCGCAACGGAATCACATGCGTTCGATGTGGTTCGTTCGACACTTGCACTTAGGTCTCGCAACGTACAATATACATATGTGCGTGTATCTTATCGCAGGGAATCCAGTTCGGTGGATCAGCATATATTCCGTACTATAGCATGAAAATATCTCATTCTCATTCTCTCCTCTCTCTCTCTCTCTCTCTCTTATCAATAGCTTCTCTTAGGATAAGTCGGTTTTCCCAGGATATAGGAAAATGCCAAAGATATGTACACGAAGAGACACTTTGCTCTACTTGCAGCTCCAGAATATATTATACATTGTTCGCATTACGCGCGAGAGACGCCATTGTTTTGTTACATAAATACAGGACCGAGAGGACAAGCCGTACGTGACGTAGGGGAGAGAAGGGGGGGGGGACCCGCGGGGAAATCCTTCTTGAGCTTCGCGCTGAACAACTCTCTCGTCGTCGATTACAATAACAATAATACCTTCGCCGACGAATTGCACGTGGCGGACAGACTCTTGTATCCTAAAGTCCTATCGTTCCCGAGATATTACTTCTCATACACCGAAATAACGTTAATGCCCATGTGTACACCGCGATTGTTAGCTCCGAGTCTCGAAAGTAGCTCCCGAGTTGCTGAATACGCGCTTACGATACGAGGGGGACGGGGGGGGGGAGAGGGTGGGTGAAAAAGATAAGGTCGGGGTCCTTGAAAATCAACGATTACACCGACGCAAGGTACTTGGCTTTGTACAACTTTGTATTGCACTTTGTAGCTAGCGCAAAACTTAGGTCTGTGGATCTTACGAATAATTATATATATATATTTTTTTTTTGGTCTCGTTAGGTCATCGTCATCGTGCGACGCGCAGGTAGCTGGTAGTCGAGATATCATCGAAGTCATTGCGGAATTCTCAGTCTTTATCAAAGAAGTTAATCGATCGGCGCGTCTTGCAGACGGCGCCGCGAGTCTAAGGGCGAAAACGGAAAACACGGGAGCAAGGGGGGGGGGAGGAGGGGGGGCTTCGACGAGCGGCAGCGAATAATCGCCGTATCTCCAACACCCCGCAATCGCGCATCATTTTTTAGAGCTTGCTCTGCCTTTCTTACACCTTACGCTTTCACCCTAATCGAATGGCATCGCATATGCGTATGAAACGGGAGGGCTGAAAAATGCATGAACTCGCGAGGGGGTGGACCTCGATACTCGCCGAGCGGCCAGCGCTCGATCGTCGAGGTTCGCAAAATTGATATAGAACGTAATAAAAGGGACGACGATATTGCAAGGAACAAAAGAAAAAGAGTTTTACCGCGGCGAGAAGGGAAGATAAAATCCGACGAGTTTCCGCTACGTTGACAAGAAACATTTCTTTACGATTGTAACGCGCTTCTAAGTAGCGGACGTCACTCGCGATGATGACGATGATAAAGAGACGACGACGACGACGGTCCAGGCGACCGTTTATACGCGTGGCGCGAACAGCCGGGGGGGGGGGAATGAATGACCGAAGAAGAACGCGAACGTGCTTAACCGGCAAGCACGTTCAACGGATCTTGCGTCTATCCGTCCGCTGCCGATTATTTAGATCTACGAGACTGGGATCGACGAGTGACGATTGCTGTTATCGCCTTAGCCTTAAGCTTCTAATATCTGGCGCGCGCGGTATCACGTCCTCGGTGGGTTCCGCACGTCCCGCATCGCTTGTTCAACAACACTTCTGCTCCCGCACCGGGGGGGTTTAACGTGCGCAAATACCGCGGAGCGAGTTTCTCTCCCTTTTAATCGGCTCCTTTCCTTTTAGACGCAACGTCAGGCTACCGTTGTACAACACTCGCGTTTCTGTCCGATGTTAATTTGCGTTAATATATATATATATATATGTATATAAATATAGTCAACCGCCATTTGGAAACTATCTGTTCTTCGTCTTAATAAGTTAGGAAGCTTTGTGAAGGCAATGGTGTATCGTTTAGGGGGAAGAGAGAGGGACAGCGTTGAAGAAAAGGCGGGGGGAACTGAAAGAAAAACGGGACGGGGAAGACGCTTTTCGCGCTGCACGACTCTCCGCGTCGATCGACCGCGAGTTTCAGTCGTTACGTGGGCTTGCTTCGCCGTTCGCGATGCATTATATATATCGTGCTAGGTTTTACGCGCGGTAAACGGAGAAGAGAGATAACAAAGGCAGCGATAATGACGATGGCAATGATAGCGATAATAATGACGATAACATGGAGATGACAATGATCTCTCGCAATAATAGTAGCGACTGCAATTGTAATAGTAGCTGTAATAGTAGTAATAGTAGCAGTAGTAGAGTAATAGTGATAATAATAATAATATAGTAATAATATAATAATAATAATCATAAACTCTGCAATATTTAATACATCGTTTGTTCACATGGACTAGATACAGCTCTCTCGGAACGACCGACAATTCGGTTACGTCCCGTCTTCCCTTTCTCTTATTGTTGTCTTGATCCCTGTGCTCTGCGGACCAGCGGGGATATGATGTGATCAGTCAAGTACGTCGGTGGCACACCCACCGTTATAATCTTTTTTACTATCGTGGTCAGCGATCACCACCTTGGCGCGAATGTATCGGTCGCGCGTCCCTAATTTAACGTAACTTGGGCATCAGCGAGGAACAGATCATACCTTTTGTGGAAATATTAATTGCGGGAACACTCTGTACTCCGAATTGCTTATAAAATGGTTCCTAAACAGATCTGACTTCGGTTCTGCGCGTAGAAATCATTAGCTATTGTTCTCTTTAAGGTGTGCCGGAGACACGGCATCCACGCCGTTTCTTAGAAAAAGGAGAAAAAATATGTGTATAATATATCAGATCTCGCAAACTATAAGAATATTTCTGTATCGACAAAATAACTCGCTAGAAATTATACTCGCGGTATCGAAAAAAGATTGTCGCGACAATAGTCCCGCGCGCACACGCCACTGGCACCAGAACGGACCTGGTCTTACCTATCCGCGCTCGTACACGTGTCTCTCATCTTGCGTATCTAAGCGCGGCTCGAGTTCTCTCCCTCTTCCGAGCGGAAGCGGTTTATCAACAAAGGCTACAACACTTGGAAGCGTCCCCGAGATGAATGTGGCACACGTTGGGCATCCCGGCGCAGCCCTTACCGACGATGTTATCCTGCACGAGTTGCGCGAGGCCTAGATTCTGATTGATGTCGCCGTCGCTGCCGCGATGCTGCTTCGTCGCGGCGTCGCACCACTGACGACGCTCCCGCCACTTGTCCTCGACCAGCAGCATCGATTTAGGCGACGGCGGGCTCACGCGGTCGCGAGTGATGCTGCCGCACGAGCGAGCCTTGTAGAGACGTCCCTTGCCGAAGATACCCGGCAGCGGTACGCAGAGCTTCTTGTGCACGGCGAAGTAACGGCTCAACAACCGGATCTTCCTGGTCTTACACTCGTTCCGGTTCATCGAGCCGTTACCGCGATTCTCCTTGTCGTTGCACGCCGCTTGACTCGCGCACTTGTGATCGCCGCGACGCTCGTCGCTGGCGCCGCTAACCGTCTGGCAATCGTCCGATTGCCGCTGACAGTTATTGTTCTTCCCGTCGGGACTGCGAGCGGATTGCTTCGAGCCATGCGATAACAGGGACTTCCCGGCGCTGAGCGACCAGCTTTGCAACAACCTCGCCCCGAGACCCTTCGCCTTCTGTACCGTGTTGATCGCCATTTGGGACACAGGTGGGACAACATTGTGCTGAGAAGCCGTGCTATTTTGCGACACCGACGATGACGACGAGGAGACGTTCTGCGTGCCGATTACGGTCGAATTGCGCGATACGTGACTATGATTGTGACAGGACGAGGGTGCCTCGGCCTCCTGGACCTCGGTGATACGATTCAATGACTGGCTCTCGCGCAATCGCGTCTCGCCGGCTCTTCTCCTACCAGCGCGATGTCTCCTGCCGAACATTACCTGGTTCTCGGTGCACCGATGCCGCCCTCCTCCATTCGTTGTGCTCGTGTTTGTCGTGTTAGTGCCGCTACCGTTGTCGTTTCGATTGCTCTCGGTTGTCGTCGGTGTGTCCGTCGTTGTGTGCTCGCCGTTGCTCACCCCGCTCCCCCCGCCGCCGACTCCACCTCGCCCGCCGCCGCTCCCTCCCGGGTCCTGCGAATCGCTCGAGTCGTCGTGACTGTCGCGCCTCGGAGGTAAGGGTTTGCCCGTGGACGCGCCGAGCTTGTGCGCCCTCTTCTTCCTGCTCTCGCTGTCATCGTCGCTGGCGTCCGAGCTCGAGCAGGAGGTCGTGCGCGTCTTGTGGAATTTACTCCTCCGTTGCTCGTACGTTGTTCGCCTTACGACTCGGCACTTGGTCGTCGAATCCCCGCATTCCGTGGAGTTGACCGGCGTGTGCGTCCCGTCCCCGTCCTCCAGGATTTCATTGAGCGTGAGTTGTTTCGCGGACGAGTTACCGCTGGGCGACGGCATTGTCTTGTACTTGGGTGTTAACGTCACTTGATTGTCGCTAATCGGATGAAGAGGTATCGAGACAGTCGACGATTCGTGCAGCGTTTTGGTAGTAGTCGTCGTCGTCGCAGGTACGTCGGATGGTTTCGAGGAAATCGCTGACGGGGACTCCGTAAGCGGCACGCTAAACCGATGGTGCTGAGCACCCATTCTCCACTTGTTCGCCGGCACTGGTCCGGCCGACTTTAGACACTCCGTCACTGACTTGGGCTTGGCTTCCGTGCTGGTCGCTTTTCTAGTGGTCCATCCGGCCGATGGAGAGTTTGCGCCACTCAATCGGTTCTTCAGATTTTCCTCGCACGTCGTCGTGGTGATCCGCGGAGTTACAGGCAGCTTCTCCAAGAGCACGTTACCCGTTTGAACTTTGTCCGCTCCTTTCGGACGCACCGGCGGCGACGTTGTCTTGTTGTCCTTCTCGTTTCTCGAAGTCTGCTTCAGTCTTTCTCCCCTGTGCGATGATTCGGCGATGACGGTATCCTCCTTTTGGTGCGGATGCCGCTGACCCGATACGGGCTTCGTGCCGGTGTGCTTCTCCGGAAGCTGCGATAATCGCTCCTGCAGAATATGCGAGAGCTTCCCCTCGGAACGGGAGCCGCGACGGTTAAGGGAATTTAGCGTCGAATTACTGCCGCGCTCGTCTCGGCCAGAACACGAGGACACATCGTCCTCATCTTCCTCTTCTTGAACAATACTGCACTTGCGCGTACGCACGTTCTGCAATGAGAACAGTCATCTTTGTTTCCCGCGCGAGGAACGCTAGCCACACAAAGTGCTTGTCTTAATGTTACATTCAGTCACGTATTATTCGACGCCTCGTTAGACGATGAGGACGCGATACGTACCTGCGGTACGTCACCAGGTGTCCGTGGCACGGTCAATAGCGACTGGTTCGTCGTACTCAGCGAGTTCTCATTCGTGCGTAGGTTTGTCGTTAGATCATCCTGCCGGCTGCACAAAATTAACAGCAATGGTATATTAGTGATTTCATTAAAGACGGTATGCAGCGCGTGTATAAATATTTAGATGTAGCATATCTTGCAAGTGAGTCACACGCAGCAGCGATGCTAATGGATGATTCAATACTTGAGACATACTTTGAGGAAACGTCCAGAGCTTCTGGTCGAGTTTTCTGCATCTGTTCTTGTCGATGAGCCCGCAATTTCCTCTCGGCCAGCAAGAAATACGTCGCGGTGATGTGGTTGTACTCGTTCTTGTCAAGCGCGCTGCAAGAAGGCCCGGAGTGAGAACGGCCAGTAAAACGCAGCGCCGAAGACGCATGCTTAAAATATACTAACACGCAAAAAGGCACGATCAAAATGGTCAAATCTCTTCCTAATGTCTACTCACTCCAATATCTCTTCCTTGGTGGCGATGTTACCGTTAACCATTTTGGTAATTATGTGATTGTGATGATCGTCGGTGACTTGTTGACGCGACACGAGCGGCAGCGTCTCCATCGTGTCCAAGTCGGAACCGATCGCCAGCCACGAGTCCGCGGCAATTTCCTCAAGGGACGCTCTACCTTCGGGTTCCCGTACGAGCATCCTCGCGATCAGCCGCTTGCACCCGTCGGACACGTGCGACGGAATCGAATACTTGCAGTCCATGATCATCGTTAACGTCTCGCTGTCGTTCGCCTCTTGAAACGGCGCTTGACCGCATACTAACATGTACAGTATTACACCTAACGACCAAACATCTGCAACAAATTGAAGCCACAAACATAGTCCACCGAAGCGAGTTTAACAATTTCACTTTCGTTGTATCGTATTTTAAGCAAGATCCTTTCTCTCGCATTTAGAGCTTTACTTCTTAGCGAAACTTTCGGCGAAGGAAACTTCAATGGCAATTCTCAGCCGTTAGAATTTAGAGGTGGCTAAATAGATAATGGAATCTTAATAACTTAGGTCATCTTTATTCTTTATTATGCTAATTAGCGAGCTTACCTACTGCGGGGGCATCATAACTATCGCCCAGAAGTATCTCTGGAGCGGAGTACGCTAACGAGCCGCACGAAGTCTCGAGTTTCTGACCAGGACAGAATCTATTGCTAAACCCGAAGTCCGTGAGCTTCACCGTGCCGAGCTTCTCGAAGAACACGACATTCTCGGGTTTTAAATCTCTGTGCACTACGTGTAAACGATGACAGTACGATATGGCTCGAACTATCTGCCGAAAGTAAGTCCTGGCCACCTGGGGAAACATTCCAACGTTACGATTCACACAGTATACCCTTGCCGTGTCTCTGTAGATGATTATTCCATAATTTTAGAAATTTAATCGGGTTATATAAATACTTAGAATTGGTGGAACAGTGACACAAGAGAATTCTCATCAGATCGATATATAATTCTATTCATTTTAAATTGAATCTATATAAGAAATACTTTTCCGAGAAGAGTTTAGAGACAACTTTCCGTACAATTTATGAATTGACATCCAAGAAAATTCACATTAAACAGACGCATTAACTTTACATCGGAGAGCTATATTTGCGCTCCTTTGTTCGCGGGGCAATTACAAGCCGATGGCATAATAAAACGACAATAGCCGTGCAACAATACCTCTTCGCTGAGGCCGCTGTCGTGGCGCATGATGTAATCGTAGAGATCCCCGCCATCGCCGAGCTCTAGAATTAAGTATAGCTTGGTCTGCGTGTCTATCACCTCGTACAGCCGCACCACATTGGGATGCTGCACTAGCTTCATGCACCGCACCTGCGACAAAAACGGCTCGCGATCACGATGGACAGGCAAACCAAGTTCGTGTCGCCCGAGCGGCTATAAACTACGGGGTTCGACGATTTTGTCCGTCATCCATTCGCGTCATTATCTCGTCGACCCCAACGAGATCCGCCGCTATAAGGTCTATCTATCTGCGACGCAGCTGCGCGATTCGATCGTCGGCCACCATCGAACTAGCCATCAAAATGACATTACGCGAATCAGGATGTCATCGATAACTCTATCGTTTCCATTAGGACATGAAACAGGCGAAAACTCTGGCTCGACGCGATTGCACAGTCACGAGTCGTGCAAAATAGAAACAAACAACGAATCAGAATGTCATTACGGTTCTATCTGTCACACCCGAGCGTGAAATCTCACTTGGAACGTAGGGACTTTGAAACAACGTAGCTTAGCTTTGTCTCTCGGAAAGATAAAACGAAAGCAAAGATAAAGGCACACGAGGAGGCAATTTAATTTCAGATCTTTCATGGGCTTCCTATGGCCTTTACGCATCCCGGTTTATTCACTTTTGGTAAAGAAACACTTGCTTCGTTCGTTTTCTTTATAAGCAGCGAAAGATCGAATCGGCAGAACTGGCATTTCGTGAAGTGACCGCAGTAATACTTCTCTCACCTCCTGAAAGAGATGAGCCCTCGAGACCTCGTCGAGCTTGCTCTTGTCGATCACCTTCACCGCGACCTTCTCACCGGTGAAAACGTGTCGCGCCAGCTTGACCACGGCGAAGTGGCCGCGGCCGAGGGTCTCCTCCAGGTCGTAAAGCCCGGCGATCTTGCCATCGTAATTGCTGTATCCCACTCTTCGATTCATCTCGTGCCGCTGCAATGCACATTGCGAATCTTTTCATTAAAAAAAAAAACACACATTTTTAACTTCTAAAATAACTACTCTGGGGAAAGAAAGACAGCAACTCATTTTGGGGCTCACAATTAGTAATCGAATTATTTGGATTGTTCGTAACTCTACTGTGGGAAAAATTTTGACCATTTTTTGTTTCCTTATAGAGAAAGCTTTGTTTTCGTGAAAAAAAATTTTTTCCAGTTTTTTTTTGTAATTAAGCAATGCAGAGTCGCATACAGTTTTTGCGTTTGTAAATCTTATTATTGGCATTTATGTACTAAATAATACCAGACCGGATTGTGAACTGTATAGTAGAACATTTTCATGTAAAAAACATTGAGGTTTGAAGTCTGGCTCGTATCGCATTATGCATTTGAAAATTTAAAATACATAATGCGATACGAATTGGACTTCAAACCTCAACATGTTTTATATGAAAATGTTCTACTGTGCAGTCCACACACCGCTCTGGTATTATTTTGTACATGAAAGCCAATAACAGGATTTACAAACGCAAAAACTGTATGCGACTCTGTCGGTAAATCAAACCACTCCAGCATCCCCTTAAGTGAAAATTATCTTTGCGTCATTGAATATTGACAGAACTAATTGAGAGAATTTTGATTAGTATTACTTAAAAATCTTGGATATAGATAGAATAGCTAATTGCGATTTTTAGTTACGCGGCGTAAAATTCGTAAAGGATAAGAGTTACGAACAATCCAAATAATTCGAATACTAATTGTGGGCCTCAAAATGGGTCGCTGTCTTTTTTTCCCCAGAGTATAATCAAGCTTTTTAGTCGACATTAACCGGTCAGTGTTTTAATACAGAAAACTTATTGCGAAAAGTATTACCTCAACCAGGGTTTGAACCTGGACTTCCCTACTCTCTAGGCGGGCGTCTCACCAGTTCGACCAGTGAGGCATGTGGTAATATTTGTCGCAATAACAGTACAAAGATGATATCTAAAATAACTGTTAGACTTGTCCCATGTACAAAATCCATGTCGACTGATCTCTCTCGCAAGGTCGTATCCCGATTTTACGCAATCCTCGGGTTTTGCGCTTAAACGCTCATTCTGGACCAGACATTGCGTAAAATCGAAAAACGATATTGCGAAAGAGATCAGACGATATACTTACCAAGTCTAACGGTATAAGAGGAAGATGGGTTTATCTCAGGATAGATTTTTAATTCTTCTACGAAAGCTATTTACCTGCCGCTTGTGACTTTCGCAAATTCGAGGTCCTCGCGGCAGAATCACATGCATGTCGGAAAATTATCGCGCTCTGCGAATAAGATAAGCAGACCGCCTGGTCGAAACTTATCCACCGAACGCCCTGTTTGCACTTGCGAGTGCTAGTTTCTCGTTTGTTTCTTTTAAGCAAGCGTTCTGTATGCTCGCTCACGCGATAACGTTGAATGAGTGGACTCGAAATGTCGAAATCCAATCGATCGTGTAGAAATGTGTTCAGCGACAGTGTAAGTACGTCGAGCCGGTCCATTCCGCGCGAGAAAGAGGTCACTATTATTTTTAGCGCTTCGTAGGAGCAATAATTAATCGCTTCGCCATCCGTGGACGTGCGATCGGCAGCGGTAAAAAAGGTACGCTCGGCAGAATGACAAGAGCGGTACTATCGCTTTGGGAAAATACACGTAGCGGGAAGCTAATGGACCGAGCACATGCACACGTTTGACGCTAAATATAGTTATCCGATTCAAACTTTTACCCGCGAGTGAACGAGGTAGTTACGCCGCGTCCCGAATGTACCACGGAGTGCATAGAAATCGAGTGCATAATCCTCGGATTGATTTTTCTTCGGTGAATATCGGATTAGAAACTCGACGTAACTGGAGCGCGAGAATCTGTCGTTTATCGATCGCATCGAGGCGCGACTCGGCAGAATCGCTTATCGCCTACGATCGTTCACTTTCCGAAGGATCGACCACTTAAAAAAAAACGGGAACAATGTACAAGCAAACGTGACACCGCGCTTGGCTCGCCTCTCTCCGCTTTGTCGTCTAATTGTAAGCCTGATATTACATTTGTCGCACGACAAATGTTTTAAGCGTGTTGATTCGCTGAATAGAAAGTTTGTAGATACTCGAGAATTTTACTATCTTCCAGCCAATCAACACGCTAAAAAGATTCGTCGTGCGACGACAAATGTAATACCTGCCTAAGGGTGGATTTTCATTTGTCGTACGGCCAAATTTGAAGTATACTGATTGGTCGTTACAAAAAAAATTCTAGATACTCGAGAATTTTACTATCTTCCAGCCAATCAACGCGCTAAAAAGATTTGTCGCGCGACCAAATTTTAAGTGTATTGATTGGTCGTTACAAGAAATTTGTTGTACGACAAACGTTTTAAGCGTGTCGATTGGTCGCAGGATAGTGAGTCCCCTAATATGATATAGCGGAGTTTCTGCTAAATTAATAGGCGCCATTTGTTGGTTCCGCCATGAATTTATCGCCCTTGGAGCGAAATCCGTTTAGCGGAAAATTCATTGTTAGATCGTGTAATCGCCGCGAAAAAGATTTGTGGTTGAATTTGGACGTTGAAAACCCGCTATCTCACATTAGAATCCTATCTCGTAACGGAGGACTTTCCTCTAAAATTCTCGAGTATCTAGAAATTTGTTGTCGCACGGCAAAATTTTTTAAGCGTATCGATTGGTCGCGGGATACAAAATTTCCAGATACTCGAGAACTTTTCAGTCCTGCGACCAATCGACACGCTTGAAAAAATGTGTCGCGCGAACCAACAAACGTAACACGCCAGCCTGACGCGATAACGCTAATGCGCGCGAACGCGGGGCGAGCGGTGCGCGATCAAATTTAGCGCTGGATGGGAATGAGAGCCAATGTTGCTTGCCGATTGTCTTTGGCGGAACGTAATTGCGAAACGCAACGTCGTCACGGTGCACGCTGCGACTTGCCGGCGCGGTATCTCGCATTCCGCCCGCCCGCCACCTCCGCGCGCGTTCCTATCGCAATTTACATATACATATATATACACACGCCGTGTTTCTATTTCAATAAAACACATAACGCGGACTTTGCTTACATCGCGTATATCACCGTCGTGTATTTTTTTCCGCGCTGGGCGAGATCCCGCGCGTGATAAATTAATAATGCTCTATCTCCGCCGCCCTCTCCCGCGTGCGGTAAAGGCGCACGAAAATACAATGTGACGGCGGGTCGCGAAAATCCCGACCCACGACTACTACACCCACGATTTCCTTTGGGAGCCACAAAGGAGTTCCTCGCCGCCGTGCGGAACGCGGCCACGCGCGGCCCCGCCGGCAGCCGCGAATCACATCCTCGCCGTGCACGCGTGCTCCGGATACTCTTAACGAGGATTACGACGTACGCAAAAATAAACCTCGGACGGCCGGCGCGGACAAGGTACCAATAAGGAGGCGAAAATCGCTTCGGTCGGTCCAAGCGCGCGTCGAGATCTCTTCTCGGAAAAGCACTATCGTCCCCGAAGGTCCTTTCGACCTGGCCCGGACGAAAACAGACGAGATTAATGCCTTAACGATCGAATCATCCGTGGCTCGCCGTGCAATTTATAGCAAATGCTGACGCAAGACTGACATTCACTCGCCGAGGTTTACGTCTTTTATTTCGCGCAAACGCGTCCATTGCCTATGTCGCGATATAAATAAAGACCGGGAGTATTCTCTCCCATTCTCGCCGGTGTTATTATTATCGGCGAGCGTACCCTGCACCGCCGTTCATTGTTAAGATAATAAATTATCTGGCTGACGTATTAATCCATTAAGGCAAATCGACTCTCGCCGCGCGTGCCGATTTACTGGCAGATATCGAAAAGTTCACGCCGTAACGAATGTTTATCGGCGCATACGCCGATAATGCGTGATCGATCGCGCGCTCCTCGCAAGCGGATTCAATTAAAATAAATCACGGCGCGCGGACGTCATATCGATGCGCTCGATTCTTTTCGCCGCTACGCGGGCAAATTAATCGCCGTTACGCAATCGTAATTGACGCGATCGCGGCATTACGAAGTAACGCAATTACCGCGACATCGCGCGACCGCATGGGGGTCCTCCTCCCCCCTCCCCCGCCGCTTTATCTGGATTTAGTGCAATTAACGAGCGATAGTGCGGTTTGATTGACGCGATCGTCCCAATTTTATTTTATTTCTCGTAGGCCGCCGAGTGCTCGCGCTAGCCTAAATAAATAGTATTGGAGTGTTCCACGGTCAAGGATTCTCGAATTATTGTTGGCGCAGAATTGACGCTTTGCGAGACTACGCGAGCTCCGGGAAAATGCAAATGTTTACGCACGGTAAAAATAAGAGAAAAATGGCCCGCGGGAAGAAAGCGTGCAGGTAAAACGTTATTTTAGCAAAGTTCGGAATACTGTAAAAAAATTATATATACACTGACAGAAAAAAATGGTTGCAGTTGCCACTATAATTTTGGGGTCACTTTAGGAGTCATCCCCAAATTTTAATAATTCTTCCAACCACGTAAGTTATGGTTGACCTAACAATGTATCATAGTTCTCATAGGTACAATATTGGTACACGCAACTTACGATATGGTTGTCATAAACCAAAAAGGTGTACTATAAATATTGCAATAACAGCTACAAGTAAAATTTCAAATAACTATATGTAATGGTAATAATCGTATTTATATTGGAAGTAATACTCCCCGCTTTTTTTTTATATATACATTGCGTTCACTATGTTCATTGGTTACATCACTTTGCACTCGTAAAGAATAGTGCAAGAAAGAGCTCTTTCAAAGAATAGTTGAAAGCTTATATTTTACAGTAAATTTTTTAAATAGTCGGCATCTCTGTGTCTATATTCTATTACTAATATTATAGTAATAATTACTATAAAAATAATATTCCAGACTATAATTATTTTACTATGCTAGTACGTGCATTGGTAATTTAATATAATTATATAGTACAAATCCGTGACAGTTAC